ACTAGTAATGGGAATGGGGGGGTGCTACTGCCACCTACTGGACAAGGGCCAGGAATGCTGCTGTACATCCTATACCACACAGAAAGTACTTGGCCTCGTGCCAGAAGTGCCTAGGCTGAGATGAGAAGCCAGGGAAATAGTATACATTCAGTAAGTGTGACTGTTTGCGTGATTGTAATAATACTTGAATGTTCAACTGTAAGTTATTATATGATCTAGTCTATTTGTATGCTTGTTTTTGTGTAATTACAAGAGTGCTTTTAAAATTTTATTTATCATTATTATTATTTTAAAATTTGCTATAGGGCTGCTGCACTCGCCAGAGAGAGACAGAAAGAGAAAGAGAATGCGAGAAAGCAAGCTGCCAGGTCCGGGACTTGGACCGCGGTCAGCTGTGTGGGCATCTAGTGCCCTAACCACCACACCACTCATTGGCCCCTATAATTATATTTTGAGATAATTTATTCATTTTATTTATTCCTTTCCCTTATTATTTTAATAACAACATTTTTAGACTTGTAGAGATTAATAAACAGCTCATTTTATCTACTTCCAAAATGAAATTCTTAAAAATTTAGCTTATTAAAATACTTATAGAAAAATGGTATCCTTTATATTTTAATGTTCTTTATATTTACTCACATCATCCTATCTTCTTTGAACGTCTTATAATCTCGAATGCCCGGTCTGCAGTGTTGGCAGAGTGATAGTAAAACGCTGTGATGCCGAGACCACCTGGGGGTTCAGATTAATCCAGAGAATGCCACCTGTAGGCCCCGTTTTAGTTTTGGGCGTTTTCAGTTTTTATTGTCTCAATGATTGTGACCTTTTTGTATTACATTTTCTTTGGAATGCCATTGCATTTTCTTCTTTGTAGCTGCCAGAGGGCACATGTGCTAGCCAGAGAGGGAAAGCTAGCACCTCTCCCTCAGTGGGTCGTGGTTACACCAAAATCTTTTTTCCTCTATTTCTCTTTCCAGTCAGGATTTTAGGCACACCTGCCCATGTGACTGGTGTGCGTTTTCAGTTACTTAGACTGGGACTTGAACTGCAACCAGCCATGTGGGATTTGACTGACTTAACTGCTGTGCTACAGAGCTGGCCCACCTTGGAGTTTTTTAACTTTCTTTTTCTTTTTAGTTTGTTACAGGGCTTGTATGCTCACCAAAGACGGAGAGAGAAAGGGGGAAATCACCCCCACGGGGGATTGCCTTGCCATAATTCCTTCTCTCTGATTTTCCTCTTGGGATTTTGGCACACACGCACATGTACCCAGTGTGTTTTTCTTTCTTTTTTTTGGAGAGTTGTTTTGTTTGTTTGTTGCTGTTTTTTTGCTATTGGGCACATTTGCTTGCTGGAGAGACAGGGAGAGCCAGAGAGAGAGAAGGTGAGAGATTACCCCCTGGGGGATGGCCAGAATCCTTTCTGTTTCATTCTCCTCTCAGGATTTGGACACACACACACACACACACACACAGCATGAGTTTCAAGCTGCTGGGTCCAGGACTCATACCACTCATACCACTTTCATGTGGGAGTTCAGCGCCCCAACCACTGCACCACCTGCTGTTCTTCTACCCGCAGGTGTGTTTTCAAGCTCCTGAGTCTAGGACGCAAACCTTGTAGTCTATCAGGTGGGATCCAGTGGCCTTAGCCTACATGCCACCTGCAGGCCCTATGTTCACTTGCTTTTTGATCATTTTAGTAAGTTGTTATAAGGACCAGCAGATGGTGTGATGGTTATGTCACTGAATTCCCATGTGGTCGACTGTGATTGAGTCCCAGACCTGGGGACTCAAATGCATGTTGGCGCATGTGCGTGCATGCCCAAATCCTGAGAGGAGAACGAGGAGAAGGGATTGGAGAGTAGCCATCCTCCCGGGTGTGTGTGTGTGTGTGATTTCTTGCTTTCTGTCTCTTTAGGGAGCGCATATGCCCTACAGCAAAAATCTCCCTCAAAAAAAAAAGTGTTTTTATTGTTTTGATTCATAACCTAATATATTGACTAGAACTTTCAGAGCAATATTGAACTAAAATGGCGATAAGTGATATGTTTGCATTTCTGAATGAAGTAGAACATAAACAACATGACACCCTGATGACTGGGGCAAAGAAAATGAATTGTATGTAGACCAAGAATATTTCCAATCGTTCAGAAATGGATCTTCAGGGCAGCAGTTTAATATAACCTTATTTTTTCACTATTTGAACATTCTGTGCTGGCCCCACTGCTTAGTGGTTAAGGAAACCGAATTCTACCTGGCTAACTGCGTGATTTTAAATCCCACACCCAGTGGCATGATAAACTTGTCAGGTGCGGGAGCATGCCTGCGCACAATTCCACATGGATGGAGAAATAGAGGAGAAGGCATTATTATGGTTTGACCACACCCCATTGGAGGTGCTTTCTCCCTCTTCCTCTCTCTCTCTGGTGAATTCATGTGCCCTCTGGCAAAATTAAAAAATGGATATTTCTAGAAATCTTAAAATACAGTTCAAGAGTTAGGGCTGACATTTAACATTGCTGGATCTACGTTTTATTTACATTTCTTTATGACGCACAGGTAGGATGCTGTGTACATTATCCAGTTAGTTGATAAAGACTTTTGTATGAATTCAGAGGTTAGTCTGGGTTGTTCGGTGGTGTAGGACTTGGACAGGTTGGCAGGGCCTGGATGATCTTCAGTGGAGGAGAGAAGGGAACTGTTGCACAGACTAACTGAGCATTACCTGGCCATGGGATTAACCTTGGTTCTTCCTCATACCACTGTTACCAGGACTATTCATGATTGCTCCTAGCTTAGCTGAGAACTGAGTTACACAGATATGAAATAAGTTTATTCAAGAGCTTCTTAAACACTTTTCCCCTGTGAATTAATCATACTGTGATATTAATGTGATTATATTGGTCTGTCTAAAATGGGAATAGCCATTTAGTCTAGCATGACTGATACAGAACATTTTTATATTTGATCAATTTTGCTGTTACAATTTTTGTTCTCATTCTATGGTATTTATATTTTTGGTGTTATAAATGCATCTAAGAGTAATTCATTATTGTTTACATTTAATTTCTTTTTATTTTATTAATTTAAAAATATTAATTTTATTTATTATTATTTTTAATATGCTATAGGGCACGTGTGGTTACCAGAGAGAGATGGAAAGAGGGAAAGTAAGAAAGGAAGCTGCCAGATCCAGGACTCAACCCAGGGTCAGCCATGTAGGAGTCCAGCACCTTAACCACTATGCCACCTGCTGGCCCCTGCATTGATTTCATTTAGAATTCTTATATTACGTCCTGTTTCTGCTATATGCTGTAGAATGTATGGGTGGAATTGAAATTTAATAATTTAATTAACTTGATTTTGAAAAAATAGACATCAGTCTTATGCTTACATTTTGGAGTACTTAACACAAAGGTCTCACTATGGAATAGCGTCATTTTATTTGTGTAATTTACAAACATAAATTTCAAATATAGATTTATTATTTACTTTTGCTATTTTGCACTTTTACCATTACTGTCTGTCTTACCTAAAATGTTTTTTGAGATACAGAAAAGTGCAATCATATCATTTTCCATTTTCAAGTTTTATGCAGTTTGCAGTTTTTTCAGTTTTTAATTGGTCTTTGGAAGTGAACCTAATGTCTTGGCTCATTAGCATACTAAAAACTGTAAACAAAAGCAATGAAAAATGAGATCTTTTCAAACTTTCTTTAGCCTGGTAGCAGCAGGCTGACTTGGAGACTGTGTATGGAGGGGCTGCTTCTGTCTTCTGCTTGTTCCTATACTAGGAGCCCTATAGCCCAGACTTGTCACTTAGCTGGAGTGTTTGGCTTCAGGGCATATTGCCAGTCAGTGCAAGGTCTGATATGGACGTAGCAACCAGCAGCAGAACAATACCCAAACCAGGCCTCTCACCAAAGAGCTCCTAGCCTAGTAGGAACTGGTAGCTATAAATCAAAATTGCATTTGATTCCCTGTCGGCTTCCTCTTTCATTTGTCCTGACAATGAAGCCTGGCCAAAGGTTACTCTGCTTGTGAGCTATTCTAAAACAGAGCCTTTTGCATTATTGTCAGTCTTGCATTGGTCCTCACTTCCTGTTCTGTTAATGCCAACACTGTTCTACAGTTCATAGGCGTGAATATACCCTCTACAACTAGCCTGTCATTGACACTCCTGATTCTTCTCTCTTTGTTCTCTGTCACCACTCACTACCATGTTTTAGCCTCACATTACTTCCAAGTGGAACTCTTAGAGGAGTTTCATAGGTATTTTTATAGAGCAAATTATGCACCATTACTAAGAATGCAACTGGAGTTTTGGTTTAGGCCTTGTTACTTTCTCACTAAAAAAAGCAAGAGCTTCTCATTACCTCCAGATAAAATCTATGCAGAATCTTCAGTAATGTGTCCTTAACTCTTCGTAGCTCTCTCCTCTCATTCCCTTTAATGGACTCCAGGCAAAACAAGCTCCCTGACTCTCTCATATTTTAATGACCACTTTGTTCCCATTCTCATTCCTTAACTAAAGTCTTCTATCCCTGCCAGTGCACGCCTACCCATTAGTTCTTAGCAGAAGTACCCCCTCCTTTGTGACATCATTTCTTAGCTATCCTAAAGTGGTTTCTCTAACAGCCATGAGTGTATGTCTCATGACTGTTCCTTTTGCTTGAATCGTTATGCAGAAGTTTTAATCATAGCTTAAGTATCTTGTTGCAAGGTGCTTTTCTTTGTCTCCATATCACACGTACTAGTACTCAGGAAGTAAATGTTAATGACTACGTGAAGATAGCATATGGTTGGCTTGGCTGTATTAATATTGCAGTCAGTGTTCTCTTTACAGGTGCTATGCATGTGCTCTGTGAAGGAGGGTGCCCAAACTGCCTTACCTTACATCCAAACACGCCAGTGCATGGTGATCTTGCTCGTCAGCTGTATGTGAGTGAGTGTGCCTTGTGAGTAACAAGACTCCATTTCATTTGTCCTTGGACAGGAGAATCAGATGAAAGAGAACAGTCAAAATTGGAAGTTAAAGTTTGGGATCCAAATAGCCCACTTACGGATCGACAGATCGACCAGTTTTTGGTTGTAGCACGGTGAGTATGACTTAAGAAGTGTCTTCCCTTATAAAAAAATATATAGATACTACATTTTCCTTTTTTTTGTATTATATTTTTTCCCATTGGTTATATTAGTTATTCTTTCTTTCTTTTTTTTTTTTAAAGTAATGTAAGAAAGCTTAATATATATATCACACTGCTTACTTTTCCTTTTTTTTATTGAGAGATTTTTGCTATAAGGTGGAAATGCTCACTGGAGAGACAGAGAGAGACAGAAAACAAGAATTACCCTCTGGGGAGATGGCCATGCTGTAGTTTCTTCTTCCTTCTCCTCTTGAGATTTTGGGTACACATGCACATGTGCCCAGTGTGAATTTCAAGCCACCGTGCCTGGAACTCAAACTGTGGTAGACCATGTGGGAGTCCAGCACCTTAACCACTACTCCACCTGCTGGCCTCTCACACTGCTTCTTAAATAATGTTTTACTATCATTAATTCCTGTTTTAAATGGAAATCCATTTGTTAATTAATTCATTATTTTAAAAGAATGATTTTATTTAACTTTACTTGTTTATTTTAATTTGACCAGAGAGGGACAAAGTGAGAGAGAGAGAAAGTGAGAAAGCAGGCTGCCAGGCCTGGGACTCAAACCACAGTCAGCCATGTGGGAGTCCAGCTCCCTTAACCACCATGCCAACTGCCAGCTCCATTTAGTTAATTTATTTTTAGAGAGGTTTTTTGCTATAGGGTGTGTGCGCTTACTGGAGAGACAGAGATAGAAAGCAAGAATTCGTCCCCTTGGAGATGGCCTCACCACCTCACCTTCTCTTTCATACGCTCAGGATTTTGGGCAGGCGTGCACATACGCCTGGTGTGAGTTTTAACCTGCTGGGCCTGGGACTCGAACCATAATCGACAGTGTAGGAGTCCAGGGACATAAACATTATGCCATCTACTGGTCCCCTTTGTTAATTTTTATTGACTAAAAAAACCACAAAATATAAACACGGGGTTCAGTGAGAGAAATCTTAACATTTTTAAGTGATAGCAGTGGGGCTGGCAGTTAGCGTGTTGGTTAAGGGCAGTGAACTCCCTTATGGCTGACCACAGTTTGAGTCTCAACCTGGTGGCTTGCTTTCTCACTTTCTCTCTCTCTCTTCAAAATAATATGAAGTAAATGAATAAATAAAGTTAAATAAAATAATTTAAAAAATAATGATAGCAGTGATCTCTTTTACTTAAGGAACATGTGAGACAGTAGAAAGAATGTTCAGGGTCCAGCAGATGGCATAATGGCTGCATTGCTGGACTCCCAAGTAGTCGACTGCGGTTTGAGTCCTGGACCTGGCGGCTTAAATCTCATGCTGTGTGCTTGTGTGCCTAGGATCCCAAGAGGAGAATGAATTGTGGCATGGCCATCCCCCCTCCACCCCCGCTGGGGGATGATTTCTTGCTTTCTGTCTCTCTGTCTCTCCGAGGAATGCACACACCCTATAGTAAAAATCTCTCTTAAAAATAAATCAATAAAACAAAAAAGAATGTGCAACTCGAATTCCTATGATTACATCTGTACGTGAAGAAGGCTGATGGCTAAGCACAGGTTTTCCTGTGAGAGCGTCCAGCATAGTTGCCTGGCTGGATCGCTTCCTTCCTCCTGTCCTCTTTTTTTGAGAAACTGAATCAAGCACAATTGTATTTCTCTTTTTTCAATTATACAAGTAAATTATTCTCATGGGTAAAATTGCCACACAGTAAAAAGTAAATGAGATTACCATAGTATTGTAATACTGGGAAACTTGGGGGAAAGCTCGAAGGTACATCAGTAAGCAGTTAATGAATTATTTCATGTTATTTATAGCCATTAAAAGGAGTGATTTGGAGCTATATGTGTAATAGTGAGGAAATGAATCTCAAATAATGTTGAGTGAGGCTACAGACAGTGTGGTCATTTACGTGCACACAGAGCTTTCGTTTATAAAGTTTTAACAATGTGCAAAACAATGCTTTAATTTAGGGGGCTTGTACTTTCGTCGTCGTTTCATTTGCCAGAGGGCACTTGGCATTTGCTAGAGAGAGAGAGGAAGAGAGAGGGAGAAAGCACACCCCAGTGGGGCACAGTCACGTCTTCCGCAGTCCTTTCTCCCGTGTCTCCCTCCTGTCAGCATTTTGGGCACGCATTCACATACATCCTACATGCTTTCCAAGCTGCCAGGGCTGGGATTTGAATTGTGCACTGGCCGTGTGAGAGCTGGCTCCTTTAAACACCAGGCTGTGGAGCCAGCCTGGGATATGTGCTTTTATTCAGTAATGGTAATAAAGACATGTGGTCTGGGAAAGTGTGTCGCCTGGGATGTGTATGTTTTTATTCAGTAATGGAAACACACGGTCTGGGAAAGTGTATCAGAGCCTTTAATCAGATTTATTTGTTTGCTTAGAAAATGAACCACATATGACAAAATATTAGAATCTGGTAGGTTTGGGCTTGCCCGTGTCCTGTGGTTAAAGGAGCCAGATCCTGTATATTTGATGTATAGATCAAATCCTGCACCCTGGTGGCTTGACAAACACACTGGCCGGTGTTCATGACACAGTCCGATTGGGATGAAGTTGAGAAGGGCTTGGGACACGAGCACGGGAAAGCTCCCGTTAGGGAGTGCTTTCTCCCTCTCCTCTCTGTTCCTCTCTGGCAAGGGCATGCCACCCTCTGGCCAAAAAAAAAGAAGAAGAAGAAAAGAAAAGAATCTTGTAAATCTGGACAATAGATAGAAAGGTCTTTATTATATTATTTGCTGATTTTCTGTTGAACATTTTTTATAATACAGAGGGAAAAATAGTCTTACCTCTGTTAAAATCTAGTCACCTTGTAAGGTCACCCGTTGTTGACTAGGTGCTTGGACTCCAGAGACCATGCTTCTCACCAAGTGATTGGGTGAAGACACTTGATGTACCTTGTTGGGGCAGAGCCAGGTAGTAGTAGAGGAAAACCAAAGATTCAAAAACAGAATTTTTTTTAAGAAATATTTTATTTAACTTTATTTACTTATTTTAACTTGACCAGAGGAAGACAGAGAGGTAGAGAGAGAGAGAAAATGAGAAGGCAAGTCGCCAGGTCTGGAACTTGAACCATGGTCAGCCATGTAGCGCCCTTAACCACCATGCCACCTTCCGGCCCATCAAGAATAGAAATTAATCATTGATGACTCCTCTGGTCTAAGGTCTCCAGATACATTATCTAAATTGTAGATTATTTACGAGAGATATTGCTGTTTTCAAATTTGATTTTATTCCTTTTCTTTATTGCCAGGTTTCATATAAGTATCCTTTTTTCCTTGAAGCAAGCCTAACAGACACCAATATGTTACGCCTAACATTTTTTCTTTTTGAGAATTTTTTAAAAAGAATTATTTTATTTAACTTTTTTATTTTAATTTGATCAGAGAGGGACAGAGTGAGAGCAGGAGCAAAAGGGAGAGAGAGGGAAAGTGAGAAAGCAAGTCGCCAGTTCTAGGACTCTAACCCCATTCAGTCATGTGGTAGTCCAGTGTCTTTAACTACACACCACCTGTTGGGACCAGCAGTTAGTATAATGGCTATGTCGCTGGACTCCCATGTAGCTGACTGTGATTCGCGTCCCGGACCCGGTGACTTAAACTCACGCCGGGCGCATGTGTGTGCGTGTCCAAGATCCCGAGAGGAGAATGGAGGAGAAGGGATTGCGGCGTGGCCATCCCCTCTGGGGGGGTGATTTCTTGCTTTCTGTCTCTGTCTGGTGAGCGGACACGCCCTATAGCAAAAACCTCTCCCCCCCAAAAAACAAATAAACAAACAAAACTACACACTACCTGTTGACCCCTCAGTATTTTTTTTTTAATTTTGTCTTTTTTTTTTTTTTAAGAATTTAATTTTTAAAAATATTTGACCAGAGAAAGACAGAGAGAAAGTGAGCAACCAAGCCCCCAGGTCTGGGACTTGAACCATGCTTAGCCATGTGGTAGTCCAGTATCTTAACCACTACTCCATCTACTGGCTCCCCTAAAAATCTTCACAATACAGATTAAAGCCACAGTCATGGTTAAAATTTTGTAGACTGACAGTAGTAAGCATTAGCGAAGATGTGGAATAGTGACCAGCAGGTGGTATGATAGTTTAGACGCTGGATTCCTACACGGCCAACCTCGGTTTGAGTCCTGAACCTGGTGCCTTCCTTTCTCATTCTCTCTTTCTGTCTCCCTCTGGTAAAATTGAAAAATAATAATAATTTAAATGAAATAATTCAAAAGATATGAAATAAGTAACCACTCTCATACCCTGCTAGTGAGGGGTATATGTTGGTGTACCTGGTTGGGAAAACCGTTTGCTATTATCCAACACACACATCCCGTAAAGTTATTTTTCTTCATTTTTAAATTTTTGCCATAGGGTGCATGTGCTTTCTGGAGAGTGATAGTGAAAGAAAGTGAGAAATCACCCCCCCCCCCATCCTGGGAGGCATGACTGTACTATAATTCCTTCTCTTCTATTCTCCTGGAATTTGGGGCATGTATGCATACATGTCTGGTATGAGTCCTCAGCCACTGGATCTGGGACTCAAACCGTCAGTTGGCCATGTGGGCATCTAGTGCCTTAACCACTACACCATCTGCTGGCCCCTCAGTGTATACCCAGGCCCAGCCATGGAGGCACTGCTAAGATGCTGTGGCCTGCAGAATGGGACCACACGGTTCGATTCCAGGTCCAACCTAAGTGTGGGGCGCAGTAGCATGTTTTTGTAATCTCAGCATCTCTGGAGGTTGAGACAGGTGGATCATATCACTGTGATACTCTGCCTTTTAAAAAAGGAAACATCTTTGGGGCCAGAATGTGGTTTGATTATTAAGGCGCTGACTTCCCACATGACTGACTAAAGTTTGAGTCTCAGACCTGGTGGCTTGCTTTCTCACTTTTTCTCTCTCTCTTTCTGTGTGTTTTCTCTGGTGAGCACATGTGTTATACACATTATTATTATTATTATTATTGGATAGGTTCTTGCTTTAGGGAGCATGTGCTCGCCAGAAAGACAGAGAGACAGGAAGTGAGAAATCACCCCCCAGGGGGGATGGCCACGCCGCAATCCCTTCTCCTCCTTTCCCCTCTTGGGATCTTGGGCACGCACGCACATGCGCCCGGTGTGAGTTTAAGCCACCGGGTCCAGGACTCGAACCGCGGTCGACTACATGGGAGTCCAGCGACATAGCCATTATGCTAACTGCTAGTCCCTAAACATTATTATTATTATAAACAAAATCTTAAAACATTTTAAGTACTGGGAACCAGCAGTTAGCGTAATGGCTATGTCGCTGGACTCCCATGTAGTCGACCGCGGTTCGAGTCCTGGACCCGGTGGCTTAAACTCACACCGGGCGCATGTGCGTGCGTGCCCAAGATCCCAAGAGGGGAAAGGAGGAGAAGGGATTGCGGCGTGGCCATCCCCCCTGGGGGGTGATTTCTCGCTTTCTGTCTCTATGTCTCTCTCTGTCTGTCTGGCGAGCGCACGCGCCCTACAGTGAAAATCTCTCCAAAAAAAAAAACATTTTAAGTACATACCCAGCAGAAATGCATATACCTTTGAGGCAAATGGTGTCCATGCACTATTCATAGTCCCCGCACACTGGGAACAACATGGAAATCAAACAGTAGAGCAGATGTGGGGGTGGGGAAATACACAAGGGAATACTCCATAGCGGAAGGTGAATGAACACCACCACAGTCAGCAACACAGATGAATCCACAAACATGATCTTGAACAAAAGAAGCTAGACAGTAAAAATAGCTGAATGTGTGATTTTATTTGAGCGAGTGGTGAATCCAGAATGGTGGTTCCTTTGGGAAGGAAGGTGGGAGTGAGCAGGAAGTAGCATGAGGAGAGGAGCCTTCTGTGGTGCTGGTTCTATTTTCTCCATTCTATTCCTGACCTGGATGTTGGTTACATGAGTGAGTTCTATTTTGTGATAACTAACTAGCTATACGTTGTATAGTTTTCTGCATGTGTGTTATATTTTAATCAGAATGTTTTAAAAAATCCTTCAGCCAGTTTGTAAGATACCAGCAATAAGCAAAGAGTCTTATCTTTCCTTCATGCTGTTCCTCTTGAGGTTAGGGTTCTTCACGTATAGGCAGGCCTCCTCAATCATTAAATGCAAGTCAGCATTGTGGGAACTTTATTTTATAATGGGGTTTTAGGAGAAATCTATTATGTATTGAGTCCTCACAGGGGTGGGGTTGCTACAATTAGTGATATCTACTTTCAAGGGAATAGTGTTTCCTTTTTTTTTTTTTTTTTGAAGAGGTTTTTGCTATAGCACACGTGCACTCACCAGAGAGACAGAAAGCGAGAAATCACCCCCCACAGGGGGGATGGCCACGCCTCAATCCCTTCTCCTCCATTCTCCACTTGGGATCTTGGACATGCACGCACACATGTCTGGGGTGATTTTAAGCCACTGGGTCCAGGACTTGAACTGTGGTCGACTACGTGGGAGTCCAGCAACATAGCCATTACAGGTAGTGTTTCTGAGTTTTCACAATTTGGGCTAAAAATGTGGTCAGAACTTATTTTGCTGTCATAGTCAAACTCTGTAGCTGACTCCATTTTCAAGCACATTCGAATTCCAAATGGTTTACTCCATGGCATTTTGTGATGGGTTTTCTCTTTCCTTTTTTTTTTTTTTTTTTAAAATAATTATGTTATTTAACTTTTTATTTATTAATTTTCCTTTACCAGAGAAGGACCGTGTGTGTGTGAGAGAGAGAGAGAGAGAGAGAGAGAGAGAAAGTGAGAAAGTGAGAAGTCTAGCCTCCTCAAGTCTGGGATTCAAACCACAGTCGGCTATGTGGGAATCTAGCACCCCTAACCACCACACCACCTGCCAGCCTCTTCCCTTTCCTTGTTTATGTCCACACAGGCTATTTTTTCTTGACTTAATTATAATGTACCAAATATGGTTAATTGGCTTGTCAGTGATTAAGTCTTAACAGAAACAAAATGCTATTTAAAAATTGGAACCAGCAGTTGGTGTAATGGCTACGTTGCTGGACTCCTGTGTAGTCAACTGCGGTTTGAGTTCCAGATCTGGTGGCTTAAACTCACATTGGGTGCATTTGTGTGTGTGCCCAAGATCCTGAGAGGAGAATGGAGGAGAAGGGATTGTGGTGTGGCTATCCCCTCTGGGGGGTGATTTCTCACTTTCTGTCTCTTGTCTTTCTCTGTCTCTCTGGCAAGTGCACATGCCCTATAGCAAAAAATCTCTCTTAAAAAAAAAAATTGACAGAGCTTGGGGATAACAGGTGGTATGGTGGTCGGGGTGCTGAACTCCTACATAGCTGACCATAGTTTGAGTCTTGGGACCTGGTAGCTTGCTTTCTCACTTTCTGTCTTTCTCTCTGGTCAAATAATAATAATAATAAATAAAATGAAATAAGTCTTAAAAATGTATTTATTTATTTATTTATTTATTTATTTATTTAGGTCAGAGCCAGATGGTGGCATGTTAGTTAAAGTGCTGGATTCCCACATGGCCAACTGTAGTTTCAGTCCCAAACCCAGTGACTTGAAAATCATACTGGGTGCATGCATGACCAAAATCCAGAGAGGAAAATGGAAAAGAAGGCATTATGGTGTGGCCATCCACCTTGGTGGGGAGTGTGATTTCTCATTTTCCCTCTCTTTGTCTTTCTTTGGCAAAGGCACATGCCATATGGCAAAAGCCTAAATAACAAAACAAAACAAATTTAACATAGGGCTTGTGTACTTGTCAGATAAAGAGAAAGGGATCTCCAAAAAAAAAAAAAAGAGAAAAAGAGAAAGGGGTGAGGAGAGATGGAGTGAGAGAGAGATTGAGAAGACACCTCCCATTGGAGATGGCCATGCTACCATCCCCTCTCCCATTTATCTCTCCATTAGGGATTTTGGGCATACATGAACACGTTCCTGGTGCATTTTTTGAAACTCCTGGGTCAGGTACTCAAACCACGCAGTAGGCCGTGTGGGAGTTAGCTGCCTTAACCACCATGCTGCCCTGCCGGCCTTAAAAATACTTATTTGGGGAACCAGCAGTTAGCGTAATGGCTATGTCGCTGGACTCCCATGTAGTCAACCGCGGTTTGCGTCCTGGACCCGGTGGCTTAAAACTCACGCCGGGCACGTGTGCGTGCATTCCCAAGATCCCGAGAGGAGAATGGAGGAGAAGGGATTGCGGCGTGACCATCACCCCGGGGGGTGATTTCTCGCTTTCTGTCTCTATATCTCTCTCTGTCTGGCGAGCGCATGCACCCTGTAGTGAAAATCTCTCCAAAAAAAGAAAAAAAAAATACTTATTTGACATTGATTCTTAAAACACTCAACAATTTTTAAAAATTTTTTTGTTCATTACACAAAAATTTTTCTAATATAAAAAAGACACAGAGGTTTAATTTTTTCTTACGGTGTTAATGGTTTTTTCCAGAGCTGTTGGGACGTTTGCCCGAGCCCTGGACTGCAGCAGTTCTGTGAGGCAGCCTAGTTTGCACATGAGTGCTGCCGCAGCTTCCCGAGATATCACCTTGGTAAGATGCTTTCTGAAATCTGGGGGGGAGGGGCTTCATACATCTATTTGGCTAGTTATAAAGCCATTATGGCAACGCTGTAGACCTGAGAGCTTTCTGGCTCTCAGCCTTGCTGACTGCTAGATTGCTTTATTTGGCTTGTCTAATCGGTTAGTGAGGTTCCTAAGTCACCCGTTTTGTTTGTGAGCTGAAAGAAGCAAAAAATGACTGTTCCACGGAGTACGTGTGAAATGGCAAAAAAAGTTTGAGAGATACATAATTCATCATTCTAACGTATCTTTTCACTTTTGTGCCCCCCCCACCCCCCGCATTCTGTGTACTTACATCATTGTTGGTTGTACTGTACATAATGCTTTGTCATTTTTATGCAAAATTGATCACTTCTCAAAACACTTGGTGTTGGAATTACTCTCTTGTCACATCATTATTCAATATCAGTATTTAGATTTTTGTCTTTGTACTAGAAAGAGGGTCTTTTTTAAAAAAATGTTTTTATTTGCTATAAGTCGTGTGCAGTTGCTGGAGAGAGATATATAGAGGAAGTGAGAAGTCATGAGAGAATGTACCCCTTTTCCTCCAGTGGGACGTTGTCATGCTGGAGTCTTTTTTTCTCCCATTTCTTTATGCTGTCAGTATTTGGACACATGCACATGTACCTTGTATGTTTTTCAAGCCACCAGGGCTTGGATTTGAATCATAACTTACCGTGTGGGATCTGGCTCCCACATGCTGGACTTCAGAGCTGGCCTAGCTCATTCACTTTAGCAGGTACACTAAGGGGCCATTCTTGTTCTAAGAGTTTGTAAGCTTTATATGATTTGTCATATTCTTTCATATAATAACTACACCACATTATTTTTGTGTTCTGTTGCCAGTGATCTTCTAGAGGTCTTTGAAAAAAGCATTTTATTTTATGGGCCAGTCATTGACATGGTGGTTAAGGCCAACTGCATGGTTCAAATCCAGGACCCATCAGCTTGAAATACACACTGGGCGCATTTATGTGATGCCCAAAAATCCCAAGAGGAGAGAGAAATGGAGGAGAAATGAGTACAATGTGACCATTCCCTATGGGGGTATGTCCTTCATCACTGTCCCTCTTTGTCTCTCTCCAGCACATGCATGTGTATGCCCTCTGGCAAAATTTAGAAAAAAAGAAATAAAGAATGGTGAAAAAACAGTTTTCTTTTGATATTACTTGTAGTGCTGCATTGAAAGTTCCAACATACATCCCTTTGTGAGCATGCGTGCAAGTTTTCTAGGCATTAACTAGAGTTGAAATGCTTCTTCATAAAGTAGTGCTCATCTAGAATTTCATCAGAAGTAGCCAAATTATTCTGTACACCATGGTGGAAATTTATAATCCCACAAGAAGTTAATAAATGTTCTGATTTCTTCTTTCTATAAGTTGTTTTGATCTTTAGTATTTTCAGTTTTGAAATGTTCACTAACCTGATGCTTCCTAATTTTAATTAGTATTTTCCTGATTACTTAATAATGTTAAGCAAGTCTTCTGTTTGTTGATTCTTGAGATTTTTTTTCTGTGTGGATTTTTTTTATAGCCTTTGTCCTTTCTTTCCTTGTATCATTATGATATTAATTTTTTTTTCTGGCTTAAAACAACAGAAAGTTATTATTGTCTCACAGTTCTGGACACAAAACTCCAAAGTCAAGTTGTCAGCAGGGCCGTTCCTTCTGAAACCTGTAGGAGAGTTTTCTCTTCTCCTAGCTGCTGTTGCTGCTGCAGGTTTTTTTTTTTCTTTCTTTCAAATTTTGTTCATTTACCTCTTCCATGAACAAGAGAGAGTGAGAAGATAGAGAAACAGGCACCCATACCCTTAGGCCCAGGCAGCCTTGGATCATGGACTCACACTTGCCCAGAGTGCTCAGAGAAGTCTCTGTGAATCCAGGACCCTCCACGTGATCTGCCTTGGAGAACGTTGTTTTAGGGAGGCACCGCTGTCTGACTCCTCCTTCCTAGCTTCTGATGATTTGCTGGTGTTCCTTGGCTTGAGACTGTAAAACTTTAATCTGTATCTCTGTTGTCACATAGTGTTCTCCCTGTGTCCTATTTTTAATCATAGTTTTAAAAAAAATTTTAAGAAGGATTTTATTTAACTTTAATTATTTATTTTAATTTGACCAGGATGGGGGGTGGGGGCGGAAAGGGAGGGAGAGAGAGAAAGCAAGCAACCAGCAAGGTTCAGGGCTTGAACCATATTTGGCCATGTGGGATTCCAGTGCCCTTAACCACCACGCCACCTGCTAGCCCCCAAAGTTTTTTGGTTGTTTTTGTTTTGTTTTGTTTTGTTTTAGTTTTTATTTAACTTTATTTATTTATTTTAATTCGACCAGAGAGGGACAGAATGAGAGAGAGAGAGAGAAAGTGAGAAAGCAGGTCACCAGGTCCAGGACTTGAACTGCAGTCAGCTATATGGGAGTCCAGTGCCCTTAAAACCACCATGCCACCTGCCAGCCCCCAAAGTTTTTTTTTTTTTTTTTTCTTCATATTTAGGCCTGTAACTCTACCTCTTCTTTAATGTTGTGAGTATAGTGAAGTGGGGATCTACTTTTTTTTTTTCATATTTTAAACTAACAGCTCTAATAATGTTTTTTCTTGATTTATAATGAAACCTCTTTCATATTACAGGGTCTAAATATACTTAGGCCTGGACTCGGTATTTTTGTTTTGTTTTGTTGATCTCTGTCCCTGTGCAAGCATGTTGAATTAAGTTTTGGTAACTAATAAGACAAGGCTCATGTGAATATTCTTTTAATTTTTTATTCTTTTTTAAAAAATTTTTGCCATTTTTAATTTCGGCATGTGTACCTACTGGAGACAGACAGAGAAAGACAGTGAAAGGGAGAAAATGCCCTCCTGAAGGGATGGCCATGCCTTAATCCTTTCTCCTCCTCCATTCTTCTCTTGGGATTTTGGGCATGCATGCACACATACCTGGAGTGATTTTCAAGACTACATGTTGGGATGCAAACCATACAGTCAGCCACATGGGATCCAGCACCTCGATGTGCATGCCACCTCTGGCCCGTGAAGTTTTTTTTTTTTTTTTATGAAGGTTTTTGTCATAGAGTGCACATACTCATCAGAAAGAGACAGTGAGAGGGAATGTGAGAAATCATCCCCCAGGGGGCATGCCCAAGCTGAAACCCCTTCTCCAGTTTCTGTGCATGCACACATACCCAGCATGATTTGCAAGCCTCTGGGTCCGCAACTCAAACCATAGAGTCAGCCATGTTGGAGTCCATCACCCTAACCACTGTGCCACCTGCTGCCTTGTGAATCTTTTTTTTAACACAAAGTTTAGGTCATTTCATACATAAGAGTTCTATCTTCCCTTTCCTCATGGTTTTTCTAATTATGCAACATTAACAGTTCTGCTCATTATCATATATACCTGGAAGTTTTCTTCTTTTTTTTTTTTTTTTTTTTTTTTTTGGGAGGTTTTCACTGTGAGGCGGGTTCGCTTGCCAGACAGACAGAGAGAGACAGAGAAGACAGAGAGAGACATAGAGACAGAAAGCGAGAAATCACCCCCAGGGGGGATGGTCACGCCGCAATCCCTTCTCCTCCATTCTCCTCTCGGGATCTTGGGCACGCACGCACATGCGCCCGGCGTGAGTTTTAAGCCACCGGGTCTGGGACACGAACCACGGTCGACTACGTGGGAGTCCAGCGACATAGCCATTACGCTAACTGCTGGTTCCCTGGAAGTTTTCTTCTTAATATGGCATGATCTTGCCTTGCCCGGATGGACTCTTGTTTAAACAGTCCCTGCTATTATGAGGTAGTGCCTCTCAGGTTGTAACTAGGGGTGCAGTCCCTATTGTGGTCCAGCAAAGCCTTCTCCTTCATTTGGGAGTGAGAGAGAGTGGAGAGCCTGTGCCTAGAGCAGTTCAGAGCTCTTGGCGGCACTTAGAACTGATTTGCCTAAAGGTGGGTCTGAGGGGTGCAGAGTACTCGTGTGGGCCCCTGGTTTGCCATTGCAGCAACTCTCTGTCCCTGCAGCTGCAGTGTGTGGACCAGCAAGTGAATCTCTTCGGGGAGAGTGCTGAGTTGTAAAGACTCCATAACCATATGTATTTCTGTCAATCAGGCTGAGAAAAGGAAAAAAAAAATTTTTTTTTAAGGTTTTTGTTAAGAGGGCACTTGTACTTGCCAGAACAACTTCTCCCTTCTTTTCAGCGTGATTTTCAGCTGCAGGGTCTGGGACATAAACCAGGGTCATCTGTGTGGGAGTCCAATGCCTTAACCATTATGCCACCTGCTAGCCCCAAGAAAAGAAATATTTTAAAGAGGATACTACCTGTATACCTTGATTAGTTTATTTTGTGTGTATTTTCTGCAATACTTGCCTATTACGTTCCTTCTGGGAAGGTTCCTTCATTGCTTCTAGTGTTTTCATCTCTTCTATTTTGTTTGCTTGAGTGTTTAATAATTTGGATGTCAGTTTTCTATTGCACATTTTATTTTAAATTATTTATTACTGCAATTATTTTAAACCAGACTTGGGCTCAGGAAATTGTGTTTTTGTATAGCTGACTTGAGACATGATATGGATCTGTTCTTGACTCCTACTGTGAGTTCTCTACTCCCCCAGGTTACCTCTTATACCCGCTCCTCTGCTTCATTCTTCTATAAATGGCTGGAATTTAAACATTGTTAGTCTTCGTAGAGGTAGCACTGAAGATCGGCTCTGTCATCTGCAGTATTTAATGTATTGGTTTCCTGCTTGAGGACTCTAGGTGCAGCTTTATACTCTAAGATTCTCAGAGACTCCTGTCAATAAGTGGATGTGGTTACAGTTGATTAATATGTTACTAGTACGAGTTTTGCAGATTGTTTACGGAAAAGAACATGTGAAAATAGTTGTTCATGTCATTAAAATGAATTTTATCTTAAATTTGGAGAGTCCCAATTTTTGCTTTTTCCTAGTATTTCCAGTCCTAAACCAATCACTTTTGCTTCTTTGGCTGAGGCT